GTTTTAACATTTACATATGTAAGATATGCGCTTTTAATCTTCTTTTAAATAATTCGAGCCTATCGCAAGTTTTAATTTCTACTGGCAGGACGTTATACAATATACTTCCTTCATAAAACAAACTTTTCTGTGCACTCCTTGTTTTTCGAAATTGAATTTCGATATTACCCGCTTGTCTTGTTTCCCTATCGCATTTGTTCCCTACTATTTGTAACTTATCTCTTAACTGAATTGGTAACAGGTTATTCAATATCTTGAAAATAAATATACATATATTATATTGTAATCTTTGTCTTACTGACATAAATTGCAACGCCTCTAGCATGTCTTCCACTTTGGTGTATCTATCACATTGAAGTATTATCCTCATAGCTCTGTTTTGTACCTTCTGCAGTTGGGTTATCTGCGTCTCCCCCATGCCTATTAATATCGTCGCGCAATACTCAAAATGAGGAGCTATGATTGTCTTATATATAATGCATCTAGTATACACTGATATGTAATTACCTACTCTATTTAAGAAACTCGTTTTTTTACCTATTTTTTTAACATATAATCACAGTGATCTTGAAATCGAAGTCTGTCATCGATAATTATACCTAGATATTTCATAGTCTCTACACGCTCTATTTCAATTCCGTCCAGACATTTCAAAATAGTATTACCTCTCAATTCTTTTCGAATACTTCTAACTATCATATACTTCGTTTTACTTGCATTCATTTTTAACTTATTTATATTCATCCAACGTTCGATTATATTAAAAGCCGTGTTCAATTTTATCTCTATATCCGTGCTACTTTCTCCACTTACATATATAAGCGTGTCGTCTGCAAACATTTTTATATTGCACCCTTCTGGACAGCCTTCGATTATATCATTTATATATATTATAAATAGTAAAGGTCCTAGTACCGAGCCTTGTGGCACTCCGTATTCTGTTGTCAATAATTTAGACCATGTATGATTGAAACGCACTTGCTGTTTCCTATTATTTAAATATGATTTGAACCATTCTAAGGCCATTCCTCTAATTCCATAATAATACATTTTTCCTAATAATCTTTCTCTGTCTATTGTTTCAAACGCTCTCTTAAGATCCATGAAAATTACACCTACCATTTTTCCTTCGCTTACTATTAATTTCCATTCGTCAATGACAGTTTGAATCGCTGTTTCACACGAGTAATATTTTCTAAACCCCGACTGATGTTCTGTTATAATATCGTTAGTTTCCAAATACATTTCAAGTTGTTCTTTACTACTAATTCTAACATTTTTCAAATATGGTAACATATTATAGGCCTATAATCGCTCGCTTTTTTCGCTTTATCTATCTTTGGAATCGGTATTATCGTAGAGGTTTTCCAACCTTCCGGACAGAGACCTTCTCTTAAAGAATTGTTTATATATTCGCAAATTCCTCTTTTATTACAGAAAAAGTTGTCCTCAATATATCGCTAGTTATTCCCTCTTCCGTACCTTTCTTTTTCGGCAATCCCATAACAATTTTTTCTAACTGCTCTAGTTTAATAGTCACGAAATTTTCCATAAATCCTTTATTTTCGATAATATAAATAATTTTCTTATTTATATTCATCCAATGATCGATTATATCACCGGATCTAACGACCTTTATAGAGTTTATTATACTATTAATACTTTGTATATAATATAAATTAAATTTATCAGCTATATTGCACTCTTCGATATCGCCTAAAATTTCAAAATCTATATTTCCTACCTCTTTTATGCCTACTGGCTCGCCTCTAATTATTTTTTCAAGGTTTTCCACATAGACGTAGGATTTTCTATTAAGATCTATCATATTTTCATAATATTCTTTTTTCTTCTCCCTAATTAATTTTACTACTGTATTTCTTTCAATTTTATACTGCGACCAATTTTGTTCGGTATCGTCATACAATGCTCTTCTATATGCCTTATCCCTTCTATCCGCAGCCTCTTTATTTCGTCTGAAAAACATTTCTTCCCTTCCCAAACTTTCGGAATTCTAAATTTTTTCCTCGGCGCCATTACATCAACGCACCCACTATACTATCGACAAGTTTTCGCCCTCTCACTGACACCCATACATTCACACTGACATTCCTGGCTTTCTTGTAATTTTTTTCACTAACATAGCAAATTTATTTTCATCAAACTCTTTATAATTCGAGCACTAAAGTTCTATATTTACTGGCAGGACGTTATACAATATACTTCAGCATCAAACTTTTCTGTGCACTCCTGATTTTCGTAATTGAATTTCGATATTACCTGCTTTTTGTTATCCCTAGCGAAGATCAAATCTATAATTGTCTGACTGTCTTTCGTAATTCTCGTCGGTTCGTTAACATATTGTTTCATACATAAGCTTAGCATTGTCGTTTGCAGTTTATTCGCATAAAACGAATCTCTCATAAGATCTATATTAAAATCTCCTATTACCATGCATTCTCCCTTTATTATAAACTCTTCTACTATATCCTCGAAAAATCTCAAGAAATCTCCGTGCGATGCGCTCGGTGAGTGATATATTACCATTATCACTCCTTTATATAATTTATCTTTTACTTCTACCGCAACACACCAACAATTCGATTCTAATTTTTTTTTTCCCTCTAATACTATTTCATATTTAATATCGCTTCTAACGTATAAAATAACTCCTCCCGTATTCCTATTCTCAGCATTACATCTAACTATACTATAACCCGGAACGTTCACTTCACTGTCTTCGATATCCTCAGTCACTCTGGTCTCCGATAATGCTAAGAACGCAGGATTTATTTTCTTCATGATCTGATGTTGTATCTCATCTCTGTGCGCAATTAAACTTTGCGCATTTGTATATAGTATTATCTCCGCTTCTTCCTGTGGTTGCTATTTAGCGTCCTCCCAGCCTGCTCTCCTCTTCTCCTCCCGTAGCGCCCTCTTAAAGGTCGGACATTCCGGACTAAGGGCGTCATGGTCATCGCTTATATTCAGATTGTATGTTCGATTTTTGAACATACAATTCACACATTTCTTCTTTGTCGCTGTACAATCACGCGAGTTATGACTTCCTGCACATTTATAGCATGCTTCCTCTCGCGTACAATTTTTTGCAATATGATAATATCCCCAGCATTTGAAACATCTTTTAACATTGATGTGATTAAATACCGGACACTTCTTCCATCCTACACTTAGCTTTCCTTTCTTCAATATCAGCTCATGTGTCTCTTCATCTGCTTCTATTATTATTGACCCTTCTTCATTTCCTTTTCTTTCAGATTGATTATTTCTCCTTTCTTTGATCATTCTCTTCACAATTCGCATATTTGCTGTATCTATTTTATTCTGCATCTTTATCGTATTTATAAGTTCATTATCATCTAATTTCATCTCTTCTACACCTATATTAATAATTTTTATCTTTGGTTTTGATTGAGGCGACTCTATCACTTTATAATTTTCTCCCAGCTTAGCTTGAACTGTCTCCTTCAATTTTTTCACCTCCTCGCCGGTTTCACAACCCACGATCACTGTTCCCTTGCTACCTTTCCTTAATTTCGTTATTCCCATAGCCATACTCTTAATATCCACCTTTTCTTTTATCAATTTTTTAGTAGCTTCACTCTCTTGTTGCATTTTCGGCTTAACAATTATAACGTTTTCTTTCTTCTTCCCTTTAACCGCTTCACTGTAGCTTATCTGCGATTCTTCCTTTGATACACATGTTACTCCCTGTATCATTTTCTTCAAGTTTTCCAGTTCTTGCTTAACATTTACTAATTCTTCTTGAACTACTTCTTTAATCATTAGTTTAATTTCATTTTTACAGGCTGTTTCATTTTTTATTTCCTTTACAGTTTTTATGATCCAGTCTACTTTTACATCAATGCCTGATCCTTTACTTGTGAACGATCCTGCAGATCCCACGGATCCTGAGAGAGAGAGAGAGAGAGAGAGAGAGAGAATTTATATTTCTCAAACATACCTTGATATAAATTTTTATATCCCCTTCTGAGAAACTGCAGTAAAAACCACTCAATCACAAAATTGAATAACTATTAGAAACACCAAATTGAACGTAACTGTAGTCAAAACAACTAAATCACAAAATTAAATAACTACAGTCAAAATCAATCAATCACGAAATTAATAAACGATTTTTCACAGATTTTATAACTATTAAATATCACTGCACTAACCCTTCGATACATACAACTGTCAAAATATGCAATGACAGACGCTCACGAAGTAAACGCTGACGGAACCTAGGTAAGTATACATTGCAATCAACATTCTTATGTTATCGAAGTTCACGCTGTTATCTGGCACATCTAACACGATACGATCTCTAAAAGAAGACAATGAATAAAGAAAAAAAAACAACTAAAGAAAAATCAAGGATGCAAGAGGTAAATAACTTTATATTTTATTTATATTTTAACGCACACACGAGAGAGAGAGAGAGAGAGAGAGAGAGAGACATTGAAATTTTATTTTTATTATGTGTTTTTAGGACGCTGGTTCCAGTGGGGACGAATTCGGTACATCTCTAGACTTGGAGATTACCAGAATCGAGGTTGAAGAATTGAAAAAACAGTTAGCTGCAGCAAAGCAGGCTCTTGCTGCAGCTACTCCTAAACCTTCGACTTCAAAAGGGCCTCCTGTTCATGTTCCGAGTGCTCAACCATCGCAACCACCACAGCCTGCAGTGGTGGTTGAAGATGACATAAAAGATCATACACAACGTAAGTATATTATTTAAAAAATTAAAAATAACATGTAAATATATGTTTTTATTTTTAAATATTATTTCTTTTTCAGTAAAAGATAGACCCGCTCGATGGTCGCGAGCTGGTCGCCAACGTGGTCGCGGACGTGGTCGCGGACGTGGTCGCGGACGTGGCCGCGGAAATATAATTTATATAAATATGTAATAGAGAAAACAAGCCGAAATAAAGTTTCTTTTATCTAATACAATTATTTATTACTCAATAAACAATACATTTTTATATTTATAACAAACGTTTTGATAATTTAATCGACATCGAGAAAACAAATTGATTGCTCTAATCGTCTCCGTTAGCTATTCGCTCATCTAAATTATCTTGTTCTGAATGCAAGGCTGTAGATTTCAATTTATCGAAATTTGCTTGAAAATTTTCACTTAAAAATCCATTTTTATCGGCATATTATAAGATATCACAGATCAATGGTGATTCAACTCCTAGATCATATTCACATGTTTTGGGTAACAAAAAAAATAATGATACACTAGATGCGCTTGCAGTATGGTTCTCAACACATTTCAATTTTACCTAAAATGAAGAAATCATGTAAAATTATTCAACACAATATGATATTTAGATGTCATTTTTAGTTTAACTTATAAAAATAATTTTTAAATTTATAATAATGCATACTTCAGTTTGCATAAAAGCTTCAGTCTTATCGCAGCTACTTCCATCACTATAAAAGTGTGAGAGGTGTTTTTTTAACTCTAACGGTTTGGGTTTCTTGTGTGGATGTGCGGCAATCCACTCTAAATGCTTCTGTTTGTCAAATCTACCGAGATTGACGATTGTTTTCGTACCATCTCTTTCTATGTGATATTGTACAACAGAACGGCCATAACAGAATTCATACTTCCACCAGCCATTACCCTATTAACATATTAAAATATTAAAAATATATTTAATAAAAACGAAAAAAAATAGTTATTATGAATACTTACCCCATGCAAGCAATTCTTTCCACTGAGGAAACTCTGAACAGGACTAACTTCAGCAGGACTAATATTCTGATCACTCATCGCACCTATAGATTCATCACCATTGCCCTGCTTATCCATAACATCCAGTGGATGTATCTCAACCCTTACTCTTGGCTCGCTATCCTGTAATCAATTCATTACAATTTTCTACTCAATTAAAAAATTATTCTTATATATGCCATACTATTGTTACTATGTAACATAATAATGATAGTAAGGATATATATATTATTGCAAAATTGATGTTATTACATTTTATTCGATACTATTGTTAATATGTAACAATAATGATAGTAAGGATATATATATTATTGCATAGGATATGTAATACTGGTAATGTGAGGATAAGAAATTATATCTAACAATGCAACAACTTTTCAAATCGCACAGATTTACCCTCACTTGTTGTTGATGTCGCGTTTTTATACTTTCCAGTTCCATCAACATAAGTGACTTTGGTTTCTTTGGTGCATTATCGACAGGTTGACATGTAATTTCATTTTCTCAAGTGTCTTGTGGTTTGTAATCTGGATGACTGCACAGTACTGGTGAAAGCACTATCGCTTCATATTCACAAGTCATTGTTTCCTTACTGTGCAACAAATAATTAAGACAGTAAATAAATAGCAAATAAATTAGAATAGTGCTTAAAATTGAAAAGTAAAGAAATAATCTATTGCATAATTCACACTTTTTAAAGAATTATTAAAGCCTAATTAAAGAAAGATGTACGTATATTAGTTTTCTACAGATATATATATAGTGGATAGAAGCAGTTTCCTATATTGTTCTATTGAGTTTTCAAAAATATGAGATTACTGATATATTTTTTAGTATGCAATACAAATCTGCTATTAATATATAAGTATTTTTACAACTCTTCTCAATTTTAACATTAATAAGAATTGAAGACAATTACTATTAATACATGACAGAAAAAATATACATCAAATGATACTTAAAATAAGCAAAAATAGGAAAGAATCTGCATGTATTGAATATTTATCGCACAGATTTATATTATACATATAAAAATATAATAAAATAATTACCTGATTTTTATAAACATCACATATCACATCAATACACTTTCTGCTGCTTGTCATCCTGTGCAACAAATAAATAAGACAGTAAATAAATAGCAAATAAATTAGGATAGTGCTTAAAACTAAAAAGTAACGAAATAATCTTTTGCATAATTCTATCACACTTTTTAAAGAATTATTAAAGCCTAATTAAAGAAAGATGTACGTATATTAGTTATCTACAGATATATATATAGTGGATAGAAGCAGTTTCCTATATTGTTCTATTGAGTTTTCAAAAAATATGAGGTTACTGATATATATTTTTTAGTATGCAATACAAATCTGCTATTAATATATAAGTATTTTTACAACTCTTCTCAATTTTAACATTAATAAAAATTGAAGACAATTATTATTAATACATGACAGAAAAAATATACATCAAATGATACTTAAAGATAAGAAATAAGCAAAAATAGGAAAGAGAGAATCTGCAAGTTTTAAATATTTATCGCACAGATTTACCCTCACTTGTTGTTGATGTCGCGTTTTTATACTTTGCAGTTCCATCAACATAAGTGACTTTGGTTTCTTTGGTGCATTATCGACAGGTTGACATGTAATTTCATTTTCTCCAGTGTCTTGTGGTTTGTAATCTGGATGACTGCACAGTACTGGTGAAAGCACTATCGCTTCATATTCACAAGTCATTGTTTCCTTCCTGTGCAACAAATAATTAAGACAGTAAATAAATAGCAAATAAATTAGAATAGTGCTTAAAATTAAAAAGTAAAGAAATAATCTATTGCATAATTCACACTTTTTAAAGAATTATTAAAGCCTAATTAAAGAAAGATGTACGTATATTAGTTTTCTACAGATATATATATAGTGGATAGAAGCAGTTTCCTATATTGTTCTATTGAGTTTTCAAAAAATATGAGGTTACTGATATATTTTTTAGTATGCAATACAAATCTGCTATTAATATATAAGTATTTTTACAACTCTTCTCAATTTTAACATTAATAAGAATTGAAGACAATTACTATTAATACATGACAGAAAAAATATACATCAAATGAAATAAGCAAAAATAGGAAAGAATCTGCATGTATTGAATATTTATCGCACAGATTTATATTATACATATAAAAATATAATAAAATAATTACCTGATTTTTATAAACATCACATATCACATTAATACACTTTCTGCTGCTTGTCATCCTGTGCAACAAATAAGTAAGACAGTAAATAAATAGCAAATAAATTAGGATAGTGCTTAAAACTAAAAAGTAACGAAATAATCTTTTGCATAATTCTATCACACTTTTTAAAGAATTATTAAAGCCTAATTAAAGAAAGATGTACGTATATTAGTTATCTACAGATATATATATAGTGGATAGAAGCAGTTTCCTATATTGTTCTATTGAGTTTTCAAAAAATATGAGGTTACTGATATATATTTTTTAGTATGCAATACAAATCTGCTATTAATATATAAGTATTTTTACAATTCTTCTCAATTTTAAAATTAATAAAAATTGAAGACAATTATTACTATTAATATAAAGATAAAAATAAGCAAAAATAGGAAAGAAAAATCTTTAACAATTTGTTTTTTAGTATATTATACATATAAAAATATAATAATAAAATAATTACCTGATTTTTATAAATTTCTTTTTCCATCACATCACATCAAATCACATCATCACATCAAAATTCAAAATTCAAAATCAAAAAACGTCAATCTGACATCTGACACACAACCTAACATCATGGATCATGGAGCGACATACTATCGCCGTCTGTTGTAAAACGTGCGAAATGGACATTTCCAATACATGCATCATTGCATGTGTTGTGTACGTGTGCGCATGTGTTGTATACGTGTGAATACGTATAGCACGATACTACTATGTTTGCGTGGTCGTTGATGACGGAGACGTTTCTTAAAAGAAATTTTTCATATTTCGACTTTGCATTTATATATCTCTGCTTACAAATCACGTAGAGCAGAAATAAAGACACTTTTATTATATAATTCGAACTCAATCTATCGATTAAGTCTAGTATAAACTCGATTGCTTCAGCCGTTATTGAGGATTCGAAATTTATAATAGACTCAAATGTCCGACTCGCGTTAAGATACACGGTGTCTCGGCTACGCCCTTAACTGGTCGCGAGACACTACCGTGTCTCTTGATACCGCGGAAGTGACGAACCGCGGGGTCCTCATCTCTACTGCAACACATGTACAAGTACACACACGCATACACACATGCACATACTCTGACATATGAGGTGTAAATCCGACCGGCAACCTCCACGCGGTACACCTCGGGTAATGCTAATGCCGGCGGTAATATATTAAATAAAAAATATTAATAAAATGTTTATTAATTTAAAAAATGTTTCCCTTCTTCTTTCCTTATAGAAAAAATATGTAAAAACTAATGTAAAAAAATATGAATAAAAAAAGTAATGAATAAAATATATATTTTATTAAAATAAAAAAAATGTTTTTCCTCCTCTCCTTCACATCCCTCGCCGCAACATCTCTCTCTCGCAAAATCCAGGCTTGGATCTCTCTCGTTCACCGTCGCATCTCTCACCGTCGCATCTCTCGCCGCCGTATCCAGGCTTGGATCTCTCTCGCCGTCGCCTCTCTCGCCGCCGTATCCAGGCTTGGATCTCTCTCGCCGCAGGCCCGAGCCGCCGACTCTCTCGCAAAATCCAGGCTTGGATCTCTCTCGTTCACCGTCGCCTCTCTCACCGCCGTATCTCTCGCCGCCACATCCAGGCTTGGATCTCTCTCGCCGCCGCGCGCTACCTCTCTCTCTCGCTCCGACGGGAGAGCTCGTATACCGCCGCGCGCTGAATCCAGGCTTGGATCTCTCTCTCTTGCTCTGACTGCGCGCTGAATCCAGGCTTGGATCTCCTTCTCTCTCGAATGTGTGCATCTCTCTTACTCTCGCGTGCGCCTCGTATGATAAAATTATCGATTTTTTTTCGCTAAATGCATTGTCCTTGACACAATAATTATATCTCGCAAAGTATGTAACGGGTGGCGCGCAAATAAAGTACACCATGATATATACATATAAGTATTTATTCGTCTTATATTTAATACATAATTATGTAGTTTTATTACATATTAAAAACTAAAGCCACCAGCTCGCAATCGACAAGTTGGTGCATGTTGAAGGCATTGCTAGCGCGTATCGCATTCGACAATTCTCTCGCATTCGTTACAGTGGATGCAATATTGGAGAATTGAGTATATTTGATATCAACCGTTGCGACGAGCCTCGTCAATCGATCGTACATTATTTCGATACATGAATCGAGCTCGAACATACGATGTAACGTCGATTCGACCATCATCATGCGCACGTCCGCTGATTCGAGACTTATGAGCTTGGTGCCGTTTATCTTGTGAAATCGCACTGTTAGCGGCCCGACACTTATGCAATTATACACATCGTTGTTGGAGGAGGAGTCATTATTCAGGTAATTGTGAATAGCGTGGCGTTGCTCGTAGAGTCCTTTCCACGTTTCGAGAGATAGTAATAGCTGTTTTCCCCGATGATCTCCTATGGCGATCTCCACGTAACTCGGCGGATCCACTCTGATGCCGATTTCGAGGAATTTGAATTCCGTTGCCGTCAATGCGTATCGTCTTCCAAGTATACGAACCGCACGAGGCTCCAGCGAAACGCTGTAAAAAAATTCGGAAAAAAAAAATTAAAACTAAATTAGGAAAAAGAAATTATAACTCATAAAAAAATATAGAATATAGAAAAAATATAAAATAAAATTAAAAATATAAAATAAAATTAAAAATATAAAAAATACAAAAAAAGTTATACTTACTCGTCGCATTTCTTCTCGCACGTTTCTTCATGTCTCGGCATGTAGTAATTCATGCTGCTGCTGCTGCTTCTTTGAACCGAGGGTATTAAAAAGTGAACCGTCAGTTAGAACGGTCGACGAAAGACTGCTTGTATAATAAGGTACTAATAATCGAGTAACGGTCATTTTTAAAATATTAGGAGAAGGGGATTCTTAGAAATATATCTGGAGGGAAAGAACAAAGAGAAATATTTAAAATATTAGGAGAGGGGGATTCTTAGAAATATATCTGGAGGGAAAGACAAATTATTAAAAGTAGTGGGGGTAAAAGAAATTCTTAGAAATACGATTGCGTGAGAAATTTTTAAAAGTAGTGGGGGTAAAAGGAATTCTTAAAAATACGATTGCGTGAGAAATATTTAAAATATTAGGAGAAAGGAATTCTTAGAAATATCTGGTTAGGAAAAATAATAAAGAGAATAGTATGTAAATAATATGTTTATTCAAAAAACGGATGATCGTCGCGATTAGCCGACCACCAATTGAATAATTTAAATACATTTTGTAACGCGCAATTTTTTACATGTTTATTACATCGTAGAGTATATGTGGGATCTAATTTATTTAATGCAGGCACATCTTCATATATGGCATCCAAGGTCTCAATCATGAAACCGCTGCACGCATCGTCCACTATTTCGGCAAGCCACTCTCGCTTTTCAAGTCCTTTTACATACACGAGAGAGGACTCTTCTTCTTCCTCCTCGTCTTGTTCATTTATGCCATTGATAGCTGCCGTGATCAAGCGCTGAGCCATGCAGTATGGAACATTTCCATCCTCCCATTGCAAGCTGTGATGATGCTGAGTTATCCATGAGGCCTGGCGCCTTTCCGACTTTATAAGCACGCTCCACGGCACAGGGCATGCGAAGAAATAGTGTGACATGATATATCCTCTTCTCAGGATTGCCGCTTCCTTCACGATAAATCGCTTGTTTAGGATAAATCCTTGCAGGTCGACAAACGTTGGTGCGGACATGATCTCTTCGATGTGAGTCAGTCGAGAGGTATTACTTCACTAACATCAGACATCTCGCATCATCATGATTATGTATCCTCCTCCCCCTCCCTCACACGCGTAGTTGTGTAAACATTTTTTAGGTGATTTTGCGCACAACGTTGGTCAACGGGTTGTACTGGATCACGCGATCGTGCATGATGAGGCAGTACGCAGTGGTATTATTAGGTATATTCTCCTTACACTCAAATTCCAATCTCACATCCACCGTTGCGCTCTTGACCGATTCGTTTTGTCGAGAACAATCGATAATCACAAACGGACCGTTTTGTAAAAACCGTGTGATGGTGAGGCTCGGCTCGAGATACTCGTATCCGTAATAATTTTTGCAGAAACGCGCATACGTGTCATACAGAATCGACCATCTGTTTCTATCGAAATCCAGATTCATATCGTCGTACGGATAACATTCCGAGTTCAGATAGAGTTTCACGTTGGTTAATTTACAGTTGTCGAATCGACTCGTATCCTCGGACATGACATTTTTACGCCCTGTCTGCAGAGCAAAAATTACATATCGCGGCTTCTCCAGTTGAGTCGCGGTCTTAATGGCCCACGAATGCTTGGTCGTACGCTGCAATAGCGGAAATTCGTATAGATCCCACGAGCGGAAACCCATGCTGAGGTAACGTCCGCTTTCCAGAGCGCGCAGCATCGACAGCTTCTTAATCTCGCTCAACAACACGTGTGGCATTCGCCATTGTATCTTGAATATGTTGATCACAGGCTCCAGTGCAGAATTTCCATACAGACAATTATTGTCGTTGCGCGCTCGTATTAGGATCAACTCATGACGCGCATTAATAACCACGCGTTTGTAATCCTCGCAAAATCCCAGCAACATGTGCAGCGGTACGCAAAAATTAAAGTATCCATTCACAGTAGTCGGGCTATCCCAGCCTGCATTTCGCATAATCACGCTTCTATCGGATGACATTGTCACATAGTTTTTCAGCAGACTTGTTATTCCCACATTCCTGTTGCGATCAATCTCCACACCATCGAGCTCGTAGCGAATTTCGTCAAACATGAATGCGACGCAATTATTTCCCAGCATCACATTGGATCCCTCAACTGGATGAGTTATCCGCAGTTCACCCTCGATGTAGAGGAAACTCTCATACGGCAACGTATATAAATCCTGTTGTTGTATGGGTATTCTTATCTCGTCGCTGTATCCAAATGTTGTGTTGGCAAACGGGTTGTATGTGTGAGTCTCAATCTTGACGATGCGATCGTCAAAGACTGGCTCTTCCTCGATGTTGAGAATCTCAGTCATTGTTCAGATGGCGCGCACCGCAAATCCCAAAGATTGTAAAAACGCAACGTTTGACGAGGTGAGTCTCTTCTTCGCGGTTGATTTGATATTAGCGAATGATGTTGTTGCTGGCCTGATTGTGTTCTTCGTGTCTTTATTCAACACGAGCATCCCGTTGCACGAGGGTGGCCCGCCGTCGTACGTGCAATCTAATTGTTATCTCTTCACCTCGAAAATCGAGCAATCGTCCCTCCTGGTCAGTAACGCGTAACACTAAATCAGTAATGCTCCGTACGAAGACCGGCAGGTAAATGATCTGCGCCGGCGTTTCCGATATCTTATATCCTGGTGGTACCCTCGGTGAAAATTCATGTATCGTGTGAACGAGTTTATCGTTGCAGTATGCACCCGCGGTCACGTTACACTCTATGCGGATAATGTTCACGTTGATAATATTAATCGCCATGTTCGATTTGTGCCATTTTCGCGGTTGCAGTATACGATTCGAGAATCCCAGCAGCGATCCAATGTTGTTGGGCATGCTAAAGTTTACTCTGTAGGCACACTTGATCTCGCTTCTCATCGTATTGTAATTAGCGCGGAGCACGATTGGGTAATC